AGTATAAGGAAAGGTAATGGGGCAAATTACTCCTAATCCCGCGCATGAAAGCAAGGCAGCTCGTGCCATTTCTCCATTGTTTTCCTTCTCAGCATGTTATTGTCTCCTATCATTGTGATCATACTTGTTATTGAGAAACATTATAACTAAAGTATTTAAAGTACCATTCCATGTTGTGATGAACTCCTTATAAATACCATTTTGTTAGCTAACAGTCCATTTTTACCATAATCTTCATGACTTTGCTCCTATTTTTTGAGTAATTAGGTTAAAAGAAAGGATTTAAAAGAGAAGAGAAAATGATATCTAGAAAAAGATATGTATTTACAACAAATAAAAGCTCCCAAATATTCACAGATGTATATTTGAACTTTGAATTTGTGGGTGGTTTTTGTTTCATTCTTTCTGTTTTTCTCAAGGGTATGGGGACACTAATGCCTATATTTATGAGCATTTACAGATATATTTTCTCATTTAAACCTCATAATGACTAACCAAGATCATCATTAAATCTTTATTTTAAAAATAAGGCAAATGTGGCCCTCCCTGGTGGCGCAGCGGGTTGAGGCACAGCACTGAGAATCTGAAGCCACTTCCGCATGAGTTCGATTCCCGCCTGCCGCCTGCCCGGAGGAGACCACATGGCAAGCCAGACCTCTCCTGGCCCGCCCGCTGCTTCCCTCAGCAGTGTACTTCGTAGATCTGCCTGTTCTGCTCCCCACTCTGTCTCTGGTGAAGCTTCTCACCGCCCCTGAGCCTCTGGCCTGTACCCCAGTTCTGTGTGCACAAATAAATAAATCTTTAAAAAAAAAAAAATAATAATAAGGCAAATGTGGCCCTCCCTGGTGACGCGGCGGGTTAAAGCACAGCACTAAGAAACTAAAGTCATTTCCACATGAGTTCGATTCCCGCCTGCCCTGGAGGTGACCACATGGTGTGGCAGACCTCTCCTGACCCGCCCGCTGCTCCCCTCAGCAGTGTACTTCATCGATCTGCCTGTTCTGCTCCCCGCTCTGTCTCTGATGAAGACGCTCCCCGCCCCTGAGCCTCTGGCCTAGTTCTATATGCGCAACTAAATAAATCTTTAAAAAAAAAAAGATAAGGCAAATGAGACTTAGAGAGTTTAAGGGACTTGCATTAAGTCAGTGGTGGAGCCAGAATTTATTTCCGGGCCATCTGAGGAGAAAGCTGCTGTCTCATACCACATATACCAAGAGTTGTATGAATATATGCCATCATTATAATCAGAAAGCTATTTTTAAATATGAAAATGTATTGCAAATAATAACTCATTTCTAGTATAAGCAGATAACGTCTTACCTGCAGAGTATAAAAATGAACCTACCAAAATCCCAGAACTGCTAAGAAAATCATCAATACATAAATCCCTCAGTCATGTCTAAAATGTTTAAAATTCAAGTATGTCTCAGGTTTCTCTAAAATTGATTAGAAGTAGAAAAAAAAGAAGTGTTAATTACAGATACGTGCAGTTACGTGAATGAAGTCTGGATTCTCAGACTGGATGAAAATTGATTGTGCTAAAAGTAGTATTCTGTAATTAAGTGAAACTGTGCTGTGCACTTTAATTAGTCAGCAGAACTTAATTCTAAGTGGTAACATTAAATCCTGGTGTATCTCATTAAATGAAAGCCTAGCAACCCCCACCTTAGCAAAGGCTCTGTTTTCCATAGTAGTTATTTATGCAGCCACTGTTCTAATTTGAAACTGCCGGAAAGCTGATGCATCCTTTTGTAATCCAGATGTACACATTAAAAATCTTCGTCCTTTCATTCAGAAGACTTATAATAATTTCATATTCCAAGGAACCTCACTAGGGATATGTAAAGCCTTGGAAGTAGAAGTACTTGAAGTCATTGGCACATTACCTCACCCACCAGGGAGCTTGAGAATGTCAGTAAACATTATAAAATTCACAGGATAGATATTTCTTCGTCTCTACATAGGTAAGCTGAAACTGTATCTTTGAAAAACTATTCAGGAAAATGAACTTACAAAAATTGTCATCAATTTCCTAAATATCTAAAAAATCAGGTTCATGGTATTTTTAAAAAGGAAAGATAATTTTCTTTTCTTTTTATTATTGTTTTTAGCCTTTTAAAAAAATGGTAACAACAAAGCCTACTCAGGAAACTCAGGAGATACAAGAAACTATAAAGAAGCAGGAAAAAAATACCTATATCCCTTAAGTCAGAGAGTGTAGTCTCAAAATTTCCTTTTAGTTTTTTATGTAGCCATTGCTTTTGTGTATTGAGATAGTTTTATTGCACCATTTGATGTTCGACTAGAAAAATTCATTGAAAAGGAAAATTTGAATTTTTGTAACCTTAACCTGGATCAATGGGACTGTAACTTATGCTCATAGCAATTGGGCCACACTGTGAAATGCTTGCTGTCTTCACTGAACTCTTAAGGAGGGGGCAGCTGCCACCACAGAGACAGGGCCCATTTCTGTGGCAGGACAGTATTGTGGACAAGACAATGGAGGAAACAAGACCTTATGTATTTAGTTGCCTGGGATTCATCATATGGGGCCAGCCTTTGTTCCTTGAATATTGTATCTGGACAAAATAAGATTGTATTTATCATTCAGAGCAACTTTAAAGAGCTCTTGCACAGAACCACCCCCACCCAGGTATGAGGGTGAGACTGTGAGAATTAAAAGGTGACTTAGACATCTGCAAGAAAGGCCTCAAAACAAACCAATCCTTCCAACTCTTTGACCTTTAATTTCTGGCCTCCAGAACCAGGAGTTAATAATCTGTTGTTTAAGCCACTCAATCTGTAGTATTTTCCAGAGTAGACAAATTCAGGGGCACCACTGAAGGCTAGAGGTCAAGTGAATGCTTGCTTTTGTAGCCCAGCAGCTAGATGAAGAGAATGAGGGTGACCCCTTGTCCACTATGGTCAAACACAGTTGAGTTCCAGTGTTGTAAACTCAGAGGCTTCTTTTCACACAGAGGACCTGCATTTTGTAATATTATTCAAGCTATATTTCTGGTGGCGTATGAATTTAAAAAGGTTTTGGTGACTAATCAGAGGCCTGATCATCCATCTAACAAATGACTTACATAATCTTTTAGATGGTAATCTACTCCTAAGAGAATAAATTAATTAATTATGGATTTGAATCACAGACACTGAGATTTGCATGTAAAAAGAATGGATCTCAGCTCCAAATTTGGATGTTCCACACCCATTTCTTTGCTTTCTTCAAAGAAGATACAGTGGTTTCCTAGCACCCCTCTTGCTAACCTGGTCAATAACTATGTTTCAGGCACCAAACCTGGTAGGTTTCTGTGGTGTCAAAAAACGAGGGCCTCATGTTGGTCACTGTGACTACTTACAGCTACCTAGGCCCCAAGTGACTCCTTAAAATCTAGTTTCTATTTCCCTGCCATGTGAGGATCCAAATTCATGTCAGTCCCTCCTTCTCCTCAGTTATAACCTCAGAACTCTTGGAGGTCAGAGATCAGAGCTCTTTTCCAGGGAAATACCTGAATGCTAAACACCTTCTCCCGTTCATCTCAGAAATACCCTCCTTTTCCCTCCATCCTTATAAAGCTGCCCTTTCTCTCTTAAGTTCTTTAAGATGCTTTTCCCATTTTCCTCCCCACAGAACACCAAAGGACTGTGGTCAAACTTAATAATATAGCAACAGGCAGGGATAGATCTTGTAGAAAAATTTGGCTTCAATTTAGGAACACACACTTCCCCTGAAGTTAGGAGAGCAGTCTGGCTTCCCATTTGGAATATGCAAAGAACAATTACAAGGAAAAAAAAAAACATAAAAAAAAAAAATCTGGGCTCTCCCTAGTGGCACAACGGGTTAAAACACCACATTATGAAGCTCTCTGAAGCCACAGCAGCACCAGTTTGATCCCCATCCTCAGGACCTCAGGAGCTGACCCACATGGTGTGACAGACCTCTCCTAACCCGCCCGCTGCTCCCCTCAGCAGTGTACTTCCTCGATCTGCCTGTTCTGCTCCCTGCTCTGTCTCTGGTGAAGCCTCTCACCCACCACATATCTGGCCTGTACCCCAGTTCTGTAAGCATAAATGAATAAATCTTTAAAACAAAAAATCATTCCTGACTACAGCCCTGAGGCATACAGCACGGGAGGAAGAGGGAGAGAGGCCTAAACAAGGAAGAGGGAGAGAGGCCTAAACAAGGGAGGGAAGAGCACAAGGGACTATGGTAATGCTGTGTATTGGGAACTACAGGAACAACACCAGAGGGGAGAGATCAAGTAATGCCCAAAGCTAACAACAATGTAAGAAGATAAATTAATTTCTCAAAACAAGAATTGAGTGGAAAACAACTACTAAACAAATAACTAACCCTGCCATGGGCTAGGCCTTAAATAGGATGCAGTCATGGTCACAGCCAAAGTCAAGACCTTTCTTACTTTAGTATCAAAGGTCAAGTTGTCATAAGGTAAGTGTGGCCTCGGAAGGCAAAAAGTTCACGGCCGGTGGAGTGCGCTACCCTAGCACCCTAAGCTCAGGCTTCTCCTAGCGCAGTGCCCGACACGGGAGGACTGATGAATGTTACTGTTTCTGCCCCCCCCCCCCCCCCCCCCCCCAGCTAGCTGCCTCACCAAGCCACTGCCCCGTCAGTCCCAAAGCTGTTGTTCCAACTCTTCGTATCATAACACCCTCTCCTGAAAGATCTTCGTAAGATGGGTTCCCATACTTCAAACTGTTTAAGTAATGCATTTTTAGCTAAATTTGATATATATGGTCTTGGTCCTTCATCTGGTAGTTATTTTCCTGCTGGAAAAAGTCACAACTAATCCAAATCACACTTTGGTCACAAAGTGGCTCTTCAGATATGAGGTATCATTAGATATGGGCAGTTTGAACATTTTATTCCTCCTGGAACTTATTTTGATTTATGAAGGAAACTGTCTTTCTGGAAATAAGCTAAATGATATAGCATGTTCTTAAATCCATCTCTCCTCATTTTTCCTGTCTCCTAGTCAGACACAGAGTTTTGGGATAAGATGCAAGCAGAATGGGAGGAAATGGCCCGGAGGAACTGGATATCTGAGAACCAAGAAGCGCAGAACCAAGTTACAATCTCAGCCAGTGAGAAGGTGACCAGTGTGTTCTTACATATGCGACCAGTTTTCTCAACCTGTCTGGAACTTACTTTTATAAATTAGTTGACAACTGTTTTGTGAAAAATCCAAGAAATAAACCATCAGTCTGACCTAGAAGAAATTGTGGTAAACAAAAACAATATAATCATCCAATGTTAAGCCTACAGAGCTGGAAAGGAATCCTCTTAATTTTATCAACGTTAAGTCAGACAGCTTGACAACTTGAATCCTGACTGATGGCCAGTATCTAAACTAGCAGGCAGAGAGGGTGGGATGGAACAACAACTGGACTAATGGCACAATGCTTTTTGTCAGCCTGCACAGGAGCAGTACAGGAGAGCTCAGAGCAGCAGTGATGTGATGGGTAGGGATGTGTTAGGACTGCATCTCATGGGTGTTTCATTATACCGCTAGGAAGGATGCACAATGGAAAAGATGCCTTTCACATAGCCAGGTCAAGTCCCAAAAGGGTTCCTTAGCACCATTCCTCTGATAAGAACCCATGCAAATATGTGAAGGCAGCAAGCCGTCAGTCACATTGCCCAGGAAATTCGCATTGCACTGGGATTTATGCTTTAAAAACACATGGGAAAAAAATAATAAATTCAAATGAATATAAAAATATAAAATGTCCTAACGTGGGTGAAAATATCTTTATATTATTATTTTTGTAGTAGAGGAAGTCTCAGTATTCAATTCTGGATCATGTCCATGATATTTAGTTCAATCCAACAAATATTTACCAAGTGCCTTCTTTGCCTTCTTTGCTGAGGAAATGATGATAAACAGCCTCTGATGTGAAGCAATTTGTAATCGACATAGCCATTAAATGTCTTCTTCCTCCCAATATTATCTGTCCCTCATTAGTAATCCAGACAATCTCATAAACTCAGAACAACCACCTCATTTAAAAAAAAAAATCCTTTTCACTAAAATATCAGAACTTACAAAGAAGCACAGTGATGCAGAGGGATAGACTCTGGGCTGAGATCCATGCCCCTGAGACATGACTGAGTCTGAACTTTTACTCCGGGACCCTACTAGCTATAACACCACTACATAAGCTGGTGCTATCCTCTCGGACTTTTCATAAGGGGTTTTGTCTTTCTAAGCACCTAGAGAGAGGGATGGTCTCCATATAACTATTTTAAAAACTAGTGGACAGCATCAACAAACCAATTTATTCATATATATCAAAGTAAAAGGATTTAATGATAATCTGACAGTAAGATTGCAACAAATAATATTGCCCAGATATTTCCAATGAGAGAGTAACTTGGCACAAACTTTCTCATAAGCAATCCTGCTACACATATACAAAGCCTCAAAATAATTCATAGATTTTGCTTAATAATTCCCTGTAAAGGGCCCTTCCTGATGACACAGTGGGTTAAAGCGCAGCACTACAAAGCTAAAGCCACTTCAGTCCTGAGTTCAACTCCCAGCCAGGAAGGTGACCCACATGGCGCGGCAGACCTCTCCTGACCTGCCCGCTGCTCCCCTCAGCAGTGTACTTCGTCAATCTGCCTGTTCTGTTCCCCACTCTGTCTCTGATGAATCCTGTCACCACCCCTGCACCTCTGGCCTATACCCCAGTTCTGTATGAATAAATAAATTTTTCAGGAGTAGAAGTCTATTTTAAGGTAATAATCCACACAAAGATTGGAAAATGAGGCTTTCACTGTAGCATTACTTATTAAAAAAAAAAAAACAAGTAACCTGATTGTATAAGTCCGAGGGAATTGGTTGCATTGTAACATAGTCTAATTTTAATTAATTGGGTTTAAGCCACAAAGCGCATATAAAATACCAGTTTGCTTATCATAAAAACAACTGAAAGGTTATTTGTAAAGTTTGTATCATTTAAATTTTTGCAATTCAATAATCTAAAACTTTACTCATTCCAAAAAGGATGGGATAGCACCCAGTGGGCCATGGCAGAAAGAAATCTGAGATATTACCATGACTTACAGCTCCTGAAGGACCAGGCTCATAGACAGATATACAGCATGGGGTATAACAATTCAGGGAAGTGAGTGGCAGCACTTTGCAAAAATGTATCCAAGAAAAGTCCATCTGTCTAAAATTTGGGGGGAAATGGTTAAAGCAAAAGAAAAAGAAAAAAGGAAAGAAGTATCAGAGGGAAAAATAAACTCTAAATATTGCAATGATCAGTGAAAGTATGCTGTATTCATAATAAGAACAAAACAATCATTCAAATTTAAATTTAATGACTTCAATTGTTCAGTTCAAATTGAAAAAGAACTGTACAATGAGGAAAGAAATTGACAGCTCCCTTCTCTGTTACAGGGATATTACTTTCACACTGAAAACCCCTTCAAAGACTGGCCTGGAGCATTTGAAGAAGGCTTAAAGAGGCTGAAGGAAGGGGACCTGCCAGTCACCATCCTATTCATGGAGGCAGCAATTCTTCAGGACCCGGGAGATGCAGAGGTTGTCATTTCTACTTGTTTCAGAAAGTGAATACCTGTGCTAATGAGGGACAGATTATACTTTGCCAGCTACTGGCACTTTATCAAGCAAAGGTTCCCAAGAGAATTAACCGGGCGTACTCAGGATTTGAGTTTAAAAGTCCCAAATAGGTATATAAAGTATCTCTATCAAACCTGTTGTCTCTGTAGTGTCCAAAAAAGAAAGGATGGGGCCAGGAAAATAAAACCCAAAATTGCCAGCAGCATTTATTGGGGGCTGGAGGAAGGGTGGATACTGTGTCATTTCCCTACAGGTCTAAAATCACGCCAAATATCAACTTTGATTTACTCGCTCAGCATTTATTGAGCACACACAATGTCTCAGGAATTAATTGTGCAAGGTACTGGCTTAAAATATTGAAGGGCTAGAAAAATGGAACTGTTGAAAAAACACGTTTGTGATTCATCTGGAGAGACAAGTCAATAAATCAATGCAATGTAATAAATGCCATGTCAGAGTATGCACACGATGCTAGGCGAGTGGATAGTAGGCCCCCTGGCCCAGCCTTCCCCTACAAATGATGCCAAAGCTGAGAGTTGAAGGAGAAAGGGTTAAAGCCCACAAGGAGTTGCGCTGTAGTTGAGCGAATTGTTTGGGTGGGCAGAGACACAAGAACATGCACCTCGCCTGGAGGGTGGTGGGGAGAGACTGGCAGGGAGGCAGCCAGAAAGGTAGGCAAAGGCTTGATCTTCATCCCAGAAAATCTGCAGAACCACTAGGAGACTCAACTGATCAGAGACAGAGGGTCACTTTTGCACCTTAGAAAAGCCCCTTTCAGGCTCTCCCTGTTGGCGCAACGGGTTAAAGCACCGCATTATGAAGCTCTCTGAAGCCAATGTGGCATGAGTTCGATCCCCGGCCAAGGAGCTGACCCATATGGCGTGGCAGACCTCTTCTTACCCACCTGCTACTACCCTAGCAGTGTACTTTGTCAATCTGCCTGTTCTACTCTGTCTCTGGTGAATCCTCTCACACACCACACTTCTGGCCTGTACCCCAGTTCTGTAAGCATGAATAAATAAATCTTAAAAAAAAAAAAGAAAGAAAGAAAGAAAAAGAAAAGCCCCTTTCTCTGAGGTGTAACTGGTGATGACAGGCAAAGCCTGTCTTAATTTACTAAGAGGTTTCTGCAGTCCTATCTTAACCTACTGTTTCCAAACCTGCAAAGGTCTGTAATAAAATAGTGATAGGGGTATAATGGCAACTTTTCATCTTGTAATGTATTTTTAGGACACATCTTTAAAAGAATAGTCCCTTTTGGAGTCAGGTCTATAATTACAGTGCTCCAAAACATTTTGGAACCAGGTTTATAATTACAGTGCTGAGTAGGTAGTACAAAACAGTGGTTAGGCCTTTAGGCTCTGCTGTCCTAACTGTGAGTTCAAATCCCTGCTCTCCTTCCAGTTAACCATGAGCCATGGGACCTAAGGCAAGCCATCTAAAGCCTCTTAATTCCATTTTCTCATATGTAAAACAGAAATCACTATTATAGTATCTATCTCATTGGGTGCTCTAAAGGCTCAATCAGTTCATACAAATAACGTACTGAGTTTGGTGTCTCACACAATATTTAGCCTTCATTATTATAATTGGCTGTACTTCATTGCATAGAAAGAATGAGTAAACTGATCACTAAAGCTTCTAGTATCTTGTTAGTCGATACCTTAACCACTGTCAGATTGACCTGAATGTTGAAATTCTGAATCAAATATTGAGCTTTTACATGAATCATTGTAGAAGAGAAAGTCACTGCATTAATACAAACTACAGGCCACCAACCACACTAAAACAATGATGTCATCTTACATTCCTAGATGCTACGTGTTAATAAAGTATTTTCATCTATATTGTATCATTTGACACAAACTTGGGAGATTAAAAAAAGAAACTTCTATATGTTCTTATCCAAGATTCATAAATGAGAAAATCAAGACACTTGGTAACTAATGGATCCCAAAGTTACTGACACTGGGTGATCACAAGCTTAGGATAATGGACAATTTGTGGACATTGAAAATGACAGCATGCCCAAACGGCAAGAAGTCCCCATGTTTCATCAGTCATTTCTTACAAACAGTTCTAAGATGCATGGATGGTGACATCAAAACAAGGGTTTCTCTGTGTACATTTATGAGATTCTCTGGAGAAGGAGAATCAAATTTTTTTTAAGTAACATTGGTTTGTCCACACCATCCTTTGCTCCCACCCTATTATCCCACCCCCTCACCCCCAACCCCAGCAGCCTCAATTCAGCAGTCATTTCTAGATTTTGTTTTGTTTTAGTTTTGCTAGTCCCTTTATCTTGTTTCTCTGCATTCTACGTAAGTAAAATTATGTGACTTTTGGCTTTCTCCCTCTGTTTTATTTCACTTGCATCATCCCCTCCAATTCCATCCATGTTGTCACAAGTGGCAGTTCATGTTGTTATGAGTTTATGCCATGTATGTAATAATAACCCATGAAGAGGAAAACCAATATGACTTTTCTCACATTTTAAGATGATTCTATGTGTTTTCATGTAGTTTTGCTTTTAAATGGTCATCACAATGACTCTCAAAGTTGGGAGTTACACATTTCTCAAACTTTTTGAAACAAAATTCACACTAACACCCATTCCTCCAGCAAATTTGAGTATTGTATGTAATGAAATATGTTGATGATTACACTTATAGTGACATGAAAAACAATGTTCTTATATGTAGAAATTTATATCTAAAATATTCATCCTAAATATGAAAAATGTTACCTGCTTGAAACTATTCTTCGCATTATTGACAATAGCAAAGGACTAGAGTAATAGCAAGGACAATAGCAAATAGCCTTCCAACAGAAAGGGGTGGTTGAAAAAGTAATGGGGTATCTACTCAAGAAAGTTTTAATTAAATTATGAGGATTCTGCAAAAACGTGAAATGTTCATGATGCAATGGAAAGTATAAATAAAAGCTATACACTGAGTAGTCATTATATTGTATTTTATAGATGTTTTATGCTTTTGACAGTGATTATGTGAGGCATTATCAGGATGGGGTGTTTGTTTTGTTTTGTTTTTCCTAGTTCCTAGATTTCTTGTTAACTCTGCTAATAGCTGACTTTCACTTAGACAAGTTAACTTCATTCTATTCATCCTGAGATTCCTTATTATAAACTTTAGACTCCTTAGTTACATTTATGAAAATACTTTTCGATTTCAAGATGTAAACCATCAGGAAATCTCAGAAACTCTGAGAGTTCTATAGCATTGGGTCACAGGACAAAATAAATACTGGAAGAGTGTGGAAGTAGTGGCAGAGGATTGATCCAGCTGTTAGGAGAGGGTTTTAGTGAAGATATGCATATAGTTGTCCCTATCAGGAGACACAGCTAAGACAGGTTGCTCTGCAAAGAAGAATCTGTCACAAGTAAACAACCTATGAAAACATTGGATGATATTGGTTCCTCTTACAATGTTGACATCTTCTTTTTTGTTGGGTATGGGGGTTTTGTTTTTTTGTTTTTGTAGGCATGGCAATTCCTCGGAATAACCCAGGCAGAGAATGAAAATGAACAAGCAGCTATTGTCGCCCTCCAGAGGTAGATGGAGCTAAGTGCAAATTCATGGGCCTGGTGGACACTCGTAAACGGACTGCCTGTGTTTCAGACTTGTCTTGAATTTTTTTTTAATTATTTCAAATAATAATTTACTCTTTTATTCTCCCCCATGAAGTATCACCATTAACTTTTCTGAATACATGGTGAAGAATTTGGCCAAAGTGCTGAGATGCCACATATTACTTACTTCTAGAAAACAAGAACATATGAACAAATGTTTCGCCATCTATAAATTTGAACATTCAGAGATTAAAAACTAAATAGTGCTTTGTAAAGAAGAGAGATCTTGTTTTTGGTGCAGACATTCATAAGCACAAAGGAAAGTCTGTGTGAGAGGCAATCATAAAATATAGTCATTGAATAGAGTTCCTTTCAACATTTCTGCAGCATTTGAAAATTTTCTTCAGGAAATACACACTCAACATAATCTTAATGTAATCTTTGACAGTGGAGAATCTTCTGAGATAGTTTCAGCAACCTGAAAATATAACTCCCAAGCCCCTGACAAATGTTCTCACTACTTTGGGTGGGTATATCACATCTTACTTGAACCCTTATTTAAACAGCAGCCACCAGATGGAGTGTCACTTTCCCTGCCCTTTTTTACACATTAAGAATGAATGAACATAAACTTCATATATAATCTATCATGCATATATATTTTTCTTATACATGTTTTCATATATAATCTCTTCCAAATATAGGTAATCATTGCTCAGCCTTATCCAGAGACTACCAACCTCAGAGGTCCACCCACAACTTCTGTACCAAAATTTGCATTTTTACCAGGTCCCCAGAAAATTGTCTTGATGTCAAAGTTTGAAGAGCCCTTGCAGAGGCCAGTGGAATAGCATGAGAGGGAAACTAGAGGTTATACCACCTGTGAACACATCAGTCATCTGCAAACACAAGATCTCTCTCCTTTACAAAAGACTATTTAGTCTTTTATCTCTCAATGTTCCAATTAAGTTCAAGTCAATTTGTTTTGTGATAAAGTACATTTAACAAATAAGTATACAGCAGCATTAAAGTAGTGATATACCCTATTTCTCCTTAGATAATATAACTCCTAAAAATTATGTGCAGTGATTAGTCATATTTTCATTGTTTTAGAACCACTAATTAAAATCACAAAGTCTAACACTTATCAGGATGGTATTTAGCTTTTTAAAAATATGCCTAGTTCCCAACTTTTATATGAATACAGAATTTTCAGGGACTTAATATAAACAAACTTAGTAATGCTTTTGCACCATTTAATTATGGTTTCAAATGTTCTAAAGAATTGTTAGATTCAGGCTCAAAAAAATCTGAAATTGGCATGTATTTTTGTTGTTGTTTTGTTTTGTTTTTGTCTTGCCTTCTTAAGGTGCTTAGAATTACAGCCTAACAACTTGAAAGCATTGATGGCTTTGGCTGTGAGTTACACGAACACTGGCCATCAGCAAGATGCCTGTGATGCTCTAAAGAACTGGATTAAGCAAAACCCAAAGTACAAGTACCTTGTGAAGAGCAAGAAGGGATCTCCAGGCCTCACCCGGCGGATGTCTAAGTCTCCGGTTGACAGGTATATCCTTCTCATTAAAGTCACATTTAATCACTTTCCTGGTCATTGAAGAGCCTCAGTCCCATATCGCCACTTCCAGAATAGGTAGCAGGACAACATTCTACCAGAAGCAGCACTGATCTCAAAGATTGATGCTGAGATAGAGCAACTTTTGGACACATGATCTACTGTGCGAGCACTCACAGACATTGATCTGAGAGGCCTGTTTTAAAGCCAAATGCTTTGAAAATGTAATTAACCTAAAATAAATTATAGTGTCAATGCATAAATTTCATAAGGCCTGAGAATTAGGTGTGGGGATTTAGTATCTATCAGCAATAGATCACAGTGGGAAATTCTCTCACTGAGGCCTAAGGAAGCTAGGGCTCTAAGAATCCATGGGTTCTATGTTGACACACACAGGGTCAGTGAAATTCTCCTTGTGACGTCTTCACTGATCATGGTCTGTATTTGTAGATGATAAAACATTTCATGAAAATCAGTAGGCATCTTTTAACATCTGGTATCAATTGTCCTCTCTTTAAGCTATGTTGTTTCAGGCAAGACTTTTCCAATTGGTAAAGTTTTCTTACCCCAGGGGACATAATGGTAAATCACTTTTGTTCACACCTTTTGGGTCATAAATCTAACTTTTTCCCTTGTAGCTCTGTTCTGGAAGGAGTGAAAGAATTATATCTGGAAGCTGCCCACCAAAATGGAGATATGATCGACCCAGACCTACAGACGGGGCTGGGAGTTCTGTTCCACTTGAGCGGAGAATTTAATCGAGCAATAGATGCATTTAATGCTGCATTAACTGTTCGGCCAGAGGTAAATTCACAGAAATAAACCATGGTTTTTTGGTTAAAAATAAGTTTCACGGCCTACTTTTTCTACTTTCCTGCTATACCTTTATTTCCTGCATGGTTGAAAATGATCAGTACTCATGATATGCTACTGTGGTTAATAGTTAACCATCTAAAATAGAAACTGAACTGCCTGAAAGTGTCAATGGTAGCTGCTCTTTGATGAATGAAGTCATTTCATAATGTTGTCCACAAAGATTTCTCAGTAATTATCCAAGTCATGCTCTCTGTTCATGGCTAATTTTTTCTATCATCCTACTGCAGGGACTATGGGAATACCCTGTCACTGGATTAGTTGGTAAAGCTCTAATCTTGTCTTTAGGACTATTCTTTATGGAACCGTCTGGGGGCGACCTTGGCGAACGGAGACCGCAGCGAGGAAGCGGTGGAGGCTTATACGCGCGCGCTGGAGATTCAGCCCGGCTTCATCAGATCCAGATACAACCTGGGAATCAGCTGCATCAACCTGGGCGCCTACAGGTGAGTATGGCAGTAGGCTGACAACCAAAAGCCATAATCAGGGCTACGGTTGAGTTACCTGAAAGCTTGTCTCCAGAAAAATAACCCATTTGGGAGAATAATCCTCCCCCTTCTAATAAGGATTAACTTTGAACTTTCATACCCTGAGGTCGGTGGAAGCAGGCACAGTTTGCTGCACTGGTTCTGAGTCTGTAGAAATCAGTAATCTTGGGAGGTTTTTTTTGTGAAATGTGGAGTGCAGCACTTTCCTCCTGAGATTTTGATCGGGTCAGCCTAGGTTGCAACCAGTTATCTGGGTTTTTACACCCAATGGCAACTCTGGGAAACATGAACAGCCCACCCTTTATTTTCTAAATATCTAGGTAAGGAGAGGGAAAAAAAAAAGCTTGTGTGGGGGGGGGCGGAGAATGAGGGAGAGGATGGGGTGGGGAGAAGAGTCCAGCAGAAGCAAAATGACTTAAGAAAATTCCTGAGCCAGTGTGTGGCAAAGCACAACCAAGAATCCAAGTTTTCCAAACCTAATTTACCAGTAAAGTTGGTTTTATTTTATTAGAGAATCATTTAGTGGTGGGTATGCCATTTGAAATGTCTTTCTCTTTCATGGTTTCTTATTACCATCCAGGTCTATGCCCTCTTTCCTTTTCCCCTGTCAATATGGATGACCCTCCCACCCTCTTCCTTAACAGGACCATAAATGGTCTTTATATCTTTGGATTAAATGAAAGTAAGGATGATTATTTTTTCTTCTGTTTTTTCCATTTTTTAAATAATGGAAATGGAATTGCTTTTGTAGCTGGAAAAAAAAAAGAATTGTTAGTTTTTTTTTTTTCTTTATTCATTCTTTTAATGGAGGTAACATTAAGATCCTTCCCATCAGGTATTGCCACCAAAGTGCACCAGCTACCAAATCACCCATAATCTATCACGATGGTCCATTGTAGTTCCTTCCCTCTTTATTCTCATCCCTTCCTCCTCTGGGTGCTTTGGTCCTGAGTCAACTTTCAAGAGTTAGTTTTTAAGCATGACCTTACTTCTAAGGCTATGTTTGGGTTTTCTATATCCCATTAAGTGTTAGCTTTAAACTCCACCAAAAAAAAAAAGTTTCTCCCTCAGAAAGAGCCAGACAAACTTGAGTTCAAATCACAGTTCTGTCACTTGTTTCTCTGACTCTGAGCATATAATTTTGAACCTCATTTTCTTCACCTGCTTAAAAAAAGAGACCACAATAAAAGAAAGACATACATTTCAGGATTACTATGCAGGTTAAATAGAATTGCATAACACAGAGCAGATGCTCAATATCTAGTAGACACATTATTGTGATTATCATGATTATCATTCTGTCATCATCCTTATTATTTAGATACGTCATCAAAGCAACATCTTAGGAATTATCTTTTCACTTGCATTTGGGCATTATGCCACTGGCAAATATTGAGACCTTAGAAACCAGTTGCTGGAGTTATACTAACAGGATCTTCTAAAGAACATTAGTCACAGACTACAATATTTCCTCTATGAGGCTCTTTGTCAGCTTGAAAGGAGGAATGGCTAACAACTCTTGAACAACTGGTTTTTTTTTTTTTTGCCAAATGGACATTATGAAATGTGTCAAGCAAAGCCTTCTTTATCAGTTGTGCATGGGACCATGCTGAACTTGGGCAATCTCCAGCTCAGCAGCTGTTTCAGGTCTGACAATGTCCGTTCAGTACAAGCAGCATTTCTGGCTTCATCTTATTTCCTAAACTGATTTTTATCTTTGTATTTTACTAGCCCTTTTAGCCACTTATTTTATGAGATACTGTAGGTCCGTTTTTATAACTAGGAGAGATATGAATAAAAATATACATGTAGAAATATTGAATTCAATTAAAAAAGGCTTTATGCATCTTCTGGATGAACTTAATTATATCTTCTTTTCAGTGTAGAAAACAATACTCAAGAGACAAACTAGTTTTTTTGGTGTAAGATGTGATATAGTAGTTATAGTAAGATATAGTAGTTATATAAGATATAGTAATTGTCAGTAGGGCAACTACTTGCAGAAAGCCATAAAAATAAATGACATGTAGGAATAGGCACTTCAGTTGAGAAATCAATTTTTATTCTTCAAGCCAGTACAGAAGCAGGCCAACTTTAGAGTTGACAGGTAAAATGTAGAATGTTCCATTAAACTGATATTTAGACAATCAATAAGTATGACTTGAAGATAAATATTTCCCCAAAATAAATGGGACGTGCTTATTCTAAACTTATTCATCATCTGTCTGATAATCCAAATTTATCTGTACATCTTTTATTCTTATTTGCTAATTATGGCCACTTTGATTAGTTGGTTTCTTTAGAACAACTCAGATGAGCTTTGTGAGTCATTCGTTGTCATGTGATATGTAGTAAATCTTGTGAAATGATGAGCAGACTGTATTTTTTCCTGAGAAAACATCAAGTGAGACATAAACTTTAAATTAATTCTGAAAATAAGTTTAACTTGAGTTGTGGCAGATATTACAAAATAACAACTCTCAATAAAGAGGTGGCTCAGGGCAGTCAGGAGCTGGTGCAAATACTTCTATCGCCATCAAAGTTGTGGAGCTTCCCCCATGTTTATGGAATATCTTTGCAGATAGCTAAACACTTGACTGTCATCTCTAGCTTTCTTTATTAATATTTATTTCCACGTATATTTTTTACATCATTGTTCTTTTTTGTACAATGTTTGATTTCTTCACTCAGGTGTAGTCCCCACAAAACTCCCACCACCAATTCACCCAAGAGCCATCACCATAGTCCTTTGTACTTTTCCTGCCCTGTTTTGACCCCTCTCTGCTCCCTTCCCCTGCAGAATGTCTCTAATTTATAGTTGCCTGCTAATTTTTGGTTTTTTATTTAGTTATTATTATATTTTTGCCTGATCATCTCATATTTTCTATAAGTAGTATAAAGCAAGTTCTACCCTGGTACTATATACAAACAAAACAAGGAAAGGAAATTTCTGGTGTAAAATTTAGGGGTAGCTCAAAATGTTACTCCTTTGTCAATAGGGGTTCCAGAGTGGAACGTAGACCAAGGAATATTAACCTTTACAAATGTGAGAATACTTTTCAATAAAAAAAAAAGAAATCTCATCCTTTTTGATAGAAACATTTCTACTGTTTGTATATCCTGGAAAAGAGAAATGCCTTTTTGAATGAATGTGGTTTTTTAATTAATCGTGAACAACTTAAATATATTCATGTATGAAACATTTAAAACTATTTACACTTATATTTACTTCCCCAAAAGGACTTAAAGTTCCAAGTTGAGAAAAAGTCTAGATTATTGTCATAAGAAAAATCAATAGTTGCTTGTGAGGCTGAGAATCTAATTCTTATCTGTTATTCTCCATATCCCTCAAAGGCCATTACCACACAGTTTGGGTCTTGCAGCACCAGTTCATAAGGGGAGTGAGAGACCTTACAGGATCATGATGATGAGAGGAACTGGAAATTGTCCTTTAAGCCGCCACTCTGTGGTGATGGAGCCAGAAAACTTCCAATGCACAGACTCCCCAATGTACAGACTCTCCAATGCACATCTATTAATAAAGCCTCCACTCTTGCTTGATTACAAGAAATCCAGAAGAGGGGGTGGTTAAAACACCCCACTCCCTTCCACTACCAGGTTGCTACATACCACATAATCACTTCCCAGTTGTCTTTTATTTCCAGGCAGAGCTAACAACATGAACAAAATGCCCAGTTCATGTGCATTCGAATCAGAAATCCAACCTCACTTTCAAAGGTTTTTACCATACTTACTAATAACCACTTTGAAGGATTAAATGAGGTCACATGTGTGAAAAGCTTTTAAGAAGAATAAAGCAAATACAAATTAAAGGAGTATTGTTATTCTTAGCAAAGACCAGTTAGTTACATCCAATACAGGCTTCTGGCAACCTGAGGTGCTAAGAGAGCAGGCCCAGCAGGGACGTTGCATTGAGCACCTCAAAGGCTGCTGTTTATTTGGGTTATATCCATAAATATCTACCATACTAGAATTTAAGCTGAGACAAATTTTTAATTATTTTAAAATGATAAATTAATTGTATATTCCATAATCACACATTTAAGAAGTAGATAATATCTAGCTTAAGAAGACAGACTCATTCTGCTTCTGCATTCAGTCTACATTTCAGTGAGCACTGAAAAATTCCACTATACATTCATAACAAAATGAGTGAAAGGGTAAAATAACACTTCAGTATTATGAAAATAATTTTGAACGTGCTGACCCCCAGGGTTCCTGAGATCACACTTGACGAATGACTGGTCTACCCTACTGATAAGAACCTGTCACATCAGTTAATTTACCTGCTCTTTAGAACAAGATTTTAATATTATTTCTGTTCTCCACATTACACAATCAGCAGAAAAGGCTATTGATGAAGATTAAATTTGTCTACTATGGTGGAGAAATATGGGTGCCTTGTTGGTAGGTGTGGTGTGGTAACATACACATGAGGGTGTGATCCTGTACCTCCAAATCATATACAGTGTTATAACTGCAATTTTAAAATGTTTTATTAAATTCAAATGATAATTAAAAATAAATTTGCCTAAAGTCAGATAAGTGGTATTCAAGCCCAGGCACTTGAAATACAAACTCAACCTTGGCTGCTACCCATATTTTTATAAAATTATACCATTTTTTAAAAGTTTTATTCATTTATGCAGAAATGGGGTACAAGCCAGAGGTGCAGGGGTGGTGAAAGGATTTACCAGAGACAGAGTGGGGAGCAGAACAGGCTGATTGGTGAAGTACACTGTTGAAGGGAGCAGTGGGTAAGTCAAGAGAGGTCTGCCGTGCCACATGGGTCACCTGCCTGGCTGGGAACTGAACTCATACTGAAGTGGCGTTAGCTTCATAGTGCTGTGCTTTAACCTGCTGCGTCACCAGGGAGGGCCCTAAAATCATACCACCTTTTACCTGAGTTGGTCTAGGTGCTTTCTTTTAAACCCTAGTCATATAAATTGCACCTATAAATGGACTGAGTTTTCAAATTATTCCTGAATAAGGGGGAAATCAAATGCATTCATGAGTTAGCAATAATTTTCTTCCTCTCCCACATGACATTCATAAAATAAATTTGCTTTATTATCCGATTTCACTACATTTGACAATGATTTTTTCACAAAAGAATGAGAGTCAGAAATTTGTTCTTCTGATCATCTAAAGTACCTCAGAGGATTTTAGACTATGACAATTTTTAATCTGGTTTTGTTTCTTAAATTTGCTAACTCTGAAAGTTGTTGCATTTTTAAATGTCTGTTCTTCTACCCTCTTAGAGAAGCGGTCAGCAATTTTCTCACTGCCCTCAGTTTGCAAAGAAAGAGCAGGAATCAGCAGCAAGTTCCTCACCCTGCTATCTCTGGGAATATCTGGGCTGCCCTCAGAATCGCACTGTCCCTGATGGACCAACCGGAACTCTTCCAGGCGGCTAATCTTGGTGATCTGGATGTCCTCCTAAGGGCTTTCAACTTAGATCCTTGAAGGAAAGGGGGAATAATAATAATCCTTCTCCTGTGTAACTGTACTGAGAAATGCAGAACTATTTTATTATGAATTTTAAAAGGATAATCCAGATGTTCAAAAGGCCAGGATGATAGAACCCAAGGTAATTCTTAACACAATGCCTAGTTCAGATCCAAAAGCACAAAATGTTGTATATACAGTCAAGATGGGGCTCGAAAGGAGCGAAAGACTCAAGACAAACCAAGATAAAGTGACTATGAATACTCTTTCCACAAGCTGCAAGCATATTGCAAAGTGGGGTTTTTGTCCCCTTTTGCAGCTGATGACACACCTAAGGAACTTGCTTATGGGACAGCTGGAAAAAGCACTGCCTCAGATCAGGGAATTCTGACTGTTTCTGAACTGTCATCTGAAATTCACCTTTTGCAAGATTGAATATAGTTTGAGCCAAGGTGCATGCACATATATTAACTCTTGACTAAAGAGAGGCATTGCTTAAACCTGTTCCAATTTTAACTTTTACTGTAGCCCTTTGATTCCAGAGAGGGAGCTTTGCTGGCAAAAGCAGTTTTTGCACTAGAAATTTTTGCTGTTCCCAATCAGAACTTTTCTGGGACTGTATATATGCACTTTAATATCTTATTTATGCCTTGCTGGAGTTTTGTTTTGTTGCTCCAATTTTTAACTGGGGGTGAAAGATTTGCGAACTCAGCCTTGTTAGATCAATGGACCAAATAAAAATTCCTGAAAATAGTTTTTCATAGTGTAGGGTTTTGCTGGAATGTTTTTCTTAAAACAGATACGACATAGGCTATAAATATGTCAGACACAGGTCTTGTCCACATGTTTTCTGGAACTGTATGAATTTAAATGAGAGTTGAGATATTGTCTCTTCATGCAGTCTTTACAGGGAGAAAGTCTGATGACTTCATGATTTCTACTGAGTTGATATTAACATGCCTAGATACCATCCTCTCCTCGCTTTCTAACTGTCCTGCACACCAAATATTCCTTTTAAACCATTAGTATTTCAAATAATATTTCTTGAGAGTGATAAATGTATATTTCCTAAAAATTATGTTTTCTTATTTCCATAACAACAACACTATTCACTCTTCTGCATCCTAACTGATAGATCTGTCTTCTAGCTGGATTTCACTGAATGCCAGTGGTTTAATATGAACTATGCCTGTCCCTTTGGCTCTCATTTTGAACATTTATCAAGTATCAAGAGTTTCCTATTGCCCATGAAGTTGTATTTAATTGGTTTGTTCCATTTAGTTTTTCAGTGTTTTGTGCCTGTCAGGGGGGCTAGGTGATTATTTTGAAAGATCATTTTTAAAAAGCTGCAAAAATTGTTTGCAAAATACCAACCACATGATAATTTCACCAACATCCAACTCTAACCATTTGTCATTTTGACTCCTGCCTTCCTCCAGAATCTCCCCCACAATAATCTTATCCCAATGTTTCTTCATTTTCTTTGGCTAGCAATAGGTGATTGTAGTTACCATACAAAACAGTAGTTAGGTAAAGTCTGGAAGCTAACTTCTATTGGGGAGGGGGAGGAGAGGTGGAGTTGGCATATACACTGAGAACTGAAACACTGAGTGCAGGTAAAAATCCTCTTCTTTTTTATGTTGAGGTCCCTGGGGTAAGAAGGAACCTTGAGGCTTCTATGTATTATAACTTATTCTAGTTTATAAAGACAGAACTGAGGGCACTGTGGTGGTACCAGCCTTTGATGGCCATCGACAGAGTTCTCCTGAATGAGGTGGTACCTCCTGCTAGGCACAAGGGACTGAGGCCTTAAGGCATTCACCATTGGACAGGAGTAAAAATCCAGTGTTGGCCCACTTTCTTGAAGTATCAGAAACAAAGTAAAATTCGACAATATTTTCATAACGTTTTTCTCCAGAATTTTAGAATTCTAGAAACTCAGTGTAGAAAAGAGTCTTAGACCTCCCTTCTACCCATGGCAGCTGCCTGTTTGAATATTTCTGGAAGCATAATATCCATTCTCTATGTGGTCGTTCTTTCCCCAAATCCGTGAATATGCACTGGCTGGTTGGCTGACCTGAATCTTAGTCCATTAGAAGTCTTTGAACAAAGAATTCAAAGCAAAGTTTATGTGTTTATGATGCCATCTTTCACTTTCAACAGTAACTGAATTTCCAGTACTGCTGATATTCTGTTTTCTTAGCCTTGCCAGCACTAGATACATGAGTTCTGTAACAACTGAAAGTCTGTTAGTTGAGTAAATGCAGAAGACTTCAAGTATTGCTAAGTGGTAGCAAATTTTGAGTTCAACATTTTATTTGGATATAAAGTAACTTGAAACACTAGGGGATTGTTTTTGGTGAGAGTAGACAATTTCCATTCCCATTATAATTTGATAATTCACAGAATATTTGATAATATCTAATGGATGTAGTGCCCATCAGAACCAAGGTTTTAATGGGCTATTCCCTGTTGAGAAGGGCAGAATTATTGACCAATACATTTCTCAAAAATATTTTTAACAAAATTAAAAGTTACTAAAAAGCAACTGAAAATTTATAGGAATAAGAGCACCACCAAAAGATAATAGCGAGTCTTTATACTACTCCTAATTTAGTCATCTGCTTGACAAGGGTATAAACATTTTTTCAATCAGAGATGGCTTTGACATCTTATCCTCATGATGTGAAATTGTCACTTAAATTACTCTATTTGAAAAGGTTGGTTGTCCTTGGTTCCCTTCTGAGGCACTCTGGAGAGATTTTGAGTAACTTTTTTTCTTGTATTAGTGGGTAATAGCCTAAGGTATCTTAGAGAATAGTAGCATCTTATAGAACAGTGATTCAGTTGCTTTAAATGTGATTTTGAGGATGGACTTGGCAGATAAAAATGCAGAGAAAGTCAGTTATCATTGCTAAATTTCAAAAATCTATTATGTCTACTGGGCTACATCTATGAACTGCTGTACCTTACCAGTGAAGAGTGGGGGGTAGGGAAGAGAAGGAGAGAGAGGAAGCATCTCTTACTGGATCAATCATATTGATTCATCATTCCGTTCTCCCAAGATCACACTCCCCATGACTCTGGAGAGAAAGGCAGATCTTGACCATCGAGAAACCATAACAGAAAACTATGAACTGTGCTTTCTCAGCCAATTTGCCTTCCAACTAAAACAGAAAATTAGTGATATGTCACTGGGTTGGGATGTCCAGAATACACTTTCAGAGTTTTATGCCACTTTCCTCATTATTTTCATTAAAGAGAATGATTATGTTGAATCTTGGGTCCATGTCTAGTTTAACTAGGTAAGCCTTGCTAATACACTCTGGATGTACAAGCAAGACTTAATCATAGTTGTAGCTAGTTCCATGTTTAACAGGAGTCCCAAGTCCCTGTACCATAACTTTGTCTGTGAACCTTAGGAATACAGACAGAATAAGACGGTCATTTTTGTCCTACCCATTTTGCCCCTGAATCAATTCCACAAGACTGGACTGGACTTTAAGTTAGTGGTTGCTGCTGTTATGGTATACCTTGAATGGATTCTGAATGAATTCTAAAAACAGGGTAATCTGAAAGGTTAGTTGGGGTGCCATCTTTGGGGAATTATTTTTAGAAATTTTAGAAATTGTTACGCATGCACACACATGATTTCAACTTTGTAAAATATTATAATTTGCAACTCATTCATTCCTTCTTGGGATTTTACTGCAGTTTCCCTATCATCTCAGTATTTCTAGAACTGGTTGAAATTAAACTGTTTTGAACTAAGAAGTAGATATATATATATTTTTAAAGAGTGTTCATAGATGAACTCTGGCATAAGGTTTGTAAAAAAGGCAATTTTTTAAAAGTAAAATATATAACCTCAGGTACAAAAATATCGCATGCATTAGTACTTGCAAATCTGCCTATTCAAATATAACCAAAGCATGCAAGATAACTTTACTGAATGTAAATTTACCCAGTGCATGATTTAGACTCATAGATTAGCTTATTTTTCCTTGCTCCTGAACAAGGAAGCATTTTCATGAACTTTGTGTTAGTTTTTTTGTTTGCTTTTAATATCCCATCCTTGAGGTTGTTTCCATGCTATCACACTGAACTTTACAGGTATTTACATGTCTGCTGTATGCAATGGTGCGGCCAGTGCCAAACTAATCTTCTGAGGAATCCAGGTATTTAGACATCCAAAAGATTTCTAAAAACCAGTTGAGGCCACAACAGAGCCAAAACTGAAATAAAACCTCTGTGTCTGAATGCTACTAAACAAAATCATGTTGCTTGCCTCAGCTCAGTTTGAAGTTCTGAATTCTGAATCATGCATTTCAATTTTCTTCTAAATTAAGAATAAATTTGAAATACTGACATAGTAAACAAAGGGTGAGGGTGAGGCTTGGGTAGCACCAGACACATGAAAGCCATCATAGGCTAAATGGACGTGGAGCCCCCATTTCCACAAATGTCACCTGGCGGGTGTGTGGCCTGTCACAGCATCATCCCCATGTAGCCTTATCTGTATGACAGTTGAGCCCCTTGGGCCCCTGTCCCCTGAGAAACTGAGCTTGGTTGTTATGGCTAAAAACCTGAAATTCAGTGGCGATGAGATGATTTCACGGTCACTCAGAACCAACTTGGAAATCTTCCCACTGCCTTTTACTGAAACCCCAGTAAAGTTAAATTTAACTTTATGGGAAAGTAATGACAAGGAGATCAGGAATTGGGAGAAAAAAGTGTCATAATACAAAGCAGAGGTCTTATGTTAGCAACAGTAGGGAGAAAAAAAGTGTCATAATACAAAGGTCTTATGTTAGCAACAGTAGTCACCACCTTCATAAATCCCACACACACACATACAAACTCAAAGACAAGAGTTTCCCAAACACACAGCAAAGATTGTTGTGTGGAGACATAAGACAGTCAAGAGGGGGGAAAACCCAGGACATTTAAGTGTGAGTTTTAACAAAACTCATGTGATAGTTTGACTTGAATAAAGTTTCCACTACCTGCAACCTCTGCAGAAATACCAAAATAACACTCGAGAAACAAGTGCCCCAGTCTCAGAGCTGTTTTCTCAGGACCTTCGCTGCAAGAGAAAATTCACCTGCAATGTTGCTGTGTTACAGCCAACCCCTGACAGACTCAGAATGAAGCAGGTCCTTGCTCAATAACAAAATGTGTGTACTTTTTTCTTAAAATTTCTTGGAGAGGGAAATGGTATGACACAGGAAGGACTGAGGGCTGTACAGCTAAGTAGTTTGGCATTTTCCCTGCGACAGATACAGCTTTTGCATAGATACAGTAAAAGAATTGTGCTATGTGAGAAATAAGCTCTGATTGAATAGGCAGCCGGTAATTTGAGGAAACAGAAGGAACCTAAATATTTACCAACATCCATTCACTTCCCCCCATATCATCTAACCCAAAACCTCTTCAATTTTCATTGCCCAAATTTGTTTACATTAGTTGGAAAAGAACCTGATTAATTTAGTAAACTTTTTACAAATTATAGCAAGCATTTATTAACTATTTAGAAAAGACATTTCTATATATTTTGTATATCTACAAAATTGCTTATCTTGTCTAAACTAAAATTATTGCTTTGAGAAGAATTCTTCTGTGATGCTTCCTTATCATGTTCAGTAATACTTAAAATCTTGGGATTTTGTTTTTAAGCTATGATAACAATTTTAACTTTAAATGTTTACATTGAGCTTCTGAGTTAAAACCAACCCAAATTATGTGAACTATAGTAAATTAATGGCAACGGGAGGGAGGAATAAAGCTATTGACATACTACATGATAATGTATCTGTGTATTTAGTGAAATATGTATCATAGCACAACTTTATTGGGTATTAATGCTTCATCTTAATACTTCCCTGCATTGCTCTTTGAAATAAAATCACTACCATAAAAATAACCTCTTACCACATGAATGCGTTTAATTTACTCAGTTGGCTTATAATTTGCAAAGTACCAAGATTAAGGTAGTATTTTTGTACTATTATTGGAAGCATGCCTTCCCTTTTTCACATTATTAAATTGTATTTATATTTGTGCAATTTTAAACTATGTTTTCAAATAAACTTTGTGTGTGGCTTCAAGGTCTTTTGGGGAATCTTTCAAAATGGTATCTCGGAATCAGAACTGCTTTAAACAAAGAGAATCCAATTTGTACTCCTGGATAAAAGGTCCTTTTATTGAATATCAATACATAGGATTTTGCATGAGTTACCTGGAAATCAGGAATGCATTTTTAGATATCAAACAAAACTTTAAAATCTTCCTCCTTTGTTAATTTTTTAAACCTACAATAACATTTAACCTGAAATTGGACTTTGTGATTTTCTTTTCAGAATAAAAGTATTAAAATATATTTCAATTTTAGGATTTTTTTTCTTTTTTCCTTTTTCTTTTTCTTTTTTTTCGGTCAGTCAATAAATATTTGAGCACCAACTGGATACAAATACTGTTCCAGTGTGGGACAGTCAGTCAAGTCAAACTTGCCCTTTGAAGAGGTTAGCTTTCCAAGAGACCAACATATACTTTAGCAAAGTAAGTCGTGCACTGCAAAGTGCTACAAGAACAAGACAAACAGAATTATGAGAGTGGCAGGAGCTACTTTAAGGACTCAAGAAAGGTGTCTCTGAGGTAACATTTGGTTGCAACTTGGACTACTAAAAGGACCTGGGAATTAGATGTTACTGGCAGAGCAAATAGCAAGCACAAAACACTACCACTAGGATAAGGTTGGTCCATGCCCAAGAGAAAAGAACCCAGGGTGGGGAGGGGTGGGGGAGTGGGGAGAAGATGCCCTGGCAGGCTGGGGATTCATGGGGAGGCTTCCTAGACTAGAGCGAAAGGTGTATTTGGGCCCTCCCTGGTGGCTCAAAGGGTTAAGACACAGCACTGCAGGTGGGCCGCAGCCACTTCAGTGAGAGTTCAATCCCTAGCCCCCCCTCCAGAGGAGGTGACCATCATGGCGCAGCAGACCTCCTAACCCACCCACTGCTCCCCTCAGCAGTGTATTTCGTTGATCTGCCTATTTTTCTCCCCACTCTGTCTCTGGTGAATCCTTTCACTGCCCCTGCGTCTCTGGCCTGTACCCCAGTTCTGTATGCATAAATAAATAAATGAATCTTTTTAAAAAAGAATACCTCCAGGAAAATAAAAAAAAAGTGGATTTGCCCCCAAGCAGAGAAGGGATGCTACTGAGACTGAACCTTCTGTGTTTCTGAAATGTTTACCAAGTGAAGTCCTTGACTGGTGAGGTTGGTGATGGCAGGAACAACAGGCTCAGATGAAGAGTGACACTGGAGCACCCCCTTCTCTCTCTTCCTGTCCCCTCTCTTGATCTGAGGCAATATTAAACATTGTTGAGCTTGCACTGTTTCTAAAATCAAGAGGTACATTTTTCTTACCTGCTTCCCTATTACTCTATATTAAGCAAAAATCCATCCACTTACTGAACTGTGGCTCCTATAAATCAGTTGGTTCATCACTAATAAGTGTTAAATGTCTACTGGATACTGAACTCACACTGAAGCAGCTGTGGCTAGCTTGCAGTGCTGTGTCCTAACCATTTGTGCCACCAGGGATGGCCTATAATTAATATTCTACATATAGTCAACATGTTTTCAAGAACTTCCCTAAGTAAAAAAAAAAGTCTTATAGACTAAAAGATCATCTCTAATACTACAAAACTGACCAGGAAAAAGTAGGCTTGAGAGAAATAACCAAGAGGAGAGTTAACATTGCTCATAATGAAATCTACTATTGAGCTGAAACCTCATAGGATCAAAATGCTATATGGATTAAAATGGTGATGGAAAACAACACAGTAAGAATATACAAATCCACTAACCAGTCAGGTGTTTCCTATAGCCCATGCATGACTCATCGCAAGTACATTATACCCACTTAGATAAGACTAAGTTTCACTGTAAGTACTTACCATAAGTCACATAGCTAGTCTGTGTTGCGAATACAATCTGAACTCAAATTGATACCTTTGCTCTTGCCATTCTACTTACCTGACTTCCCACCTCACCGAAAGATTTTCTCCAGATTTTTTAATAATTGGCTGTACAAGGAATAATAACTCACCACTGTTTTTTTTAATATCTTCCGCATTATGACTGAAATTTGTCACTGACTATTGGGTTGTCATAAATCATGATGCATTTGTACTTGAAAAACACAGAAATGTCATGACTTTTCCAACCACCCTTCTTTCCACCTTTGGAAAGCAGGAGTGTAAGTTCACACAGCACATATACAAACTGGTAAACTCTCCCAGTGGGAGGATGGGAGACAGCAAGTGAACATGAGCAGCAGCTGGCTTGCAAACATTATCCTGATAACTTTACAAATTTTCTGAATCACAAACAATCCTTCATTATAATTGTTTGCTTCTCCTTCTAGTCCCTTCCCAAATATATGACATGGCACTGAAGTCAGTCATTTTATAGTGATATATACACTTACTATATTTGAATATATATGTTCATTTTCATAAAATCTTTAGACACTGAATAGACATATTTCAAGCAGCACTTTGCATACCTACATGGCAGCCAAAATAATGTTCTTACAAAAATGTGCACATGCTAACCTCTGACACCTGTGATTATTACTTTTAGTGGCAAAAGGAACATTGTAGTCATGATTAAATTAAGGGGCCTGAGTGGGAAGATTAATCTGGACCAACAAGGTGTCCCCCGTGTAATCATATGGGTCTGCACAGGAGGGAGACAGGAGAATAAATCAGAGGAGATATAAAATGCTGATGAAGGTGCAAGGCCAAAGGTTTGAACCAAGGAATATGAATGACTTCTAGAAGCTGGAAAAGGCAAGGAATCGATGTTCTTCTATGGCTTCCTGGAAGACCCCTTGATTTTTAGCCCCATGAGACCCATTTCAGACTTCTAACCTAGTAATGTATCATATTCAGTAGCTAAGTGTGTAGTAATTTCTTACACCCTAGTATTACGGTGTCATAGAAATGTTGAAATATCCTGTGGCACTAGTGTCTACTTGTACCTATCTCAAGAATGCCACCAGCAAGCTGAGAACAAAGGAGTCCTCCACTGACTCCAATATTTGATTTAACTTAATATCATAGGGACAATCTAAAAGACATCAGACTCTTCCTGGCCCTAGTCCCTTCTCCTTCACAGAGGTTAACATCTTACCATTGCTGATCTTCCCCTACTGCTGGGGACTAGGCAGTCCACACAAACTGAACCCTAAAAAGAAAGAAAATTAATCATTGACTCAAGTTATCTTTTTTACTAATGGATGGGTATCTGGAAAGAGGAATAACAGTTTACTTGACATTTTGCAAAAGCAAAAAAAAAAAAAAAGAGAGAGAGACCTCAGATTGTGAGAATAGCATTTAATTTTAAAACAATTGAAGCAATAAATCATTCATCTCTCCATCAGAGGCAAATACTCTGCCAGAACATTTGCGATATTTTAAACAACTGTGACTAGTGCAAAACAAAACAAACTCTTTCAGGAGCCAACATCAAAATCTGCTGGGCAGGTAGGTGGGCGCAGGTGCAGGCTCAGCCTCTTCCAGGGCCAAGCAGAGCCACACGTCTTGAGGGGCAAAGTTTGCACAGTATTTCAACACACCCAGCTCTGCACAGACGGAACACAAGAGGGTAAGGAAACCACAAGAGAATGTTGCCTAAAATGAAACAAACATGCCCGTTACATCAAGTGGCTAACATCCTGGGCACCTAAAATGCTTGAAAAGTATGTTAGCAGCTTCTAGGCAAAACTGAAGGAACGAGGTGTGGGGCTCAATTGCTTGTGTTTGTTAATCGAGATCTCAGTCATAGAGACTTTTACACAGAAAAATCTTCTAGAAGGCAACCTGTGCCCCACTGTGCTCCTGATTCCAACACCAATCAATAGTTGTGTTGCTTTAGTCTATTTGGATGCTTCATAAAATTATCTTCCTTATCTGTGGTATTTCACTGCCTACCTCCACCACTTAGAGTCTAGAGTGGAGTGGTCCGAGACATCACATACCTAACTTTAAATTTTTGGTAGCCACGTTTTAAAAAATATTACCAGGAATAAGTGAAAATTTAATAATATAGCTTTTATCTAATAAATGTATCTAAAATATTGTTTCCCCATGTAATCGATAGAAAATACTGAGGAAGTAATTTACATTTTGGGGGGTGGGGGTGGTTCAAGCCTACTGTGTACAACACAAGCTGGAACAAGCCAAATTTCAAGGTGTCATTATCTACTGAGTAGGTAATCTAGAATGTAGACTTCCAAGATTGAGTTACTGAGTAGGGAAGCTCCATGGAAATGCCATACACTGAGAAGAGAGCTTCGTTCTGTAACCTAGGATTGCTGCCCTAAGATAAAGGAGAGAAACACATTTTATCTAGCCCATGCCCTGGCCCTGAAACTGTTACCAGCCACCTCCCACATGGTCCACACAGAGGATGCGACTTAGCACCAACAATGCTTAGAAGACAAAATAGACATTCGTTCTGTGAAGAAGAACCTTCTCGGCATTTACTTGGGGGATTGTACATATAACTGAATTAGAATAAGTATTTAAATGTTACCTATCTATGTAATTTTAAGGGTTTGGGGAGATGGCAACAAATAGATCAAGAATGGATTAAAAAGGGATGTCTAAGGGTGTGGGTAATTACCAGAGAAAGTAAAGGTGAGCTGAACAGGAGCAGAAGTTGGGGTAGGCACACCAAAAATGAGGCAGGCAGTAGAATGAATAGATATAGAAGCTTTAACAACCCCAAAACATATATCTAAGTGCACGAAAATAAAAATAAGCTTGAATGTCAGGGCAGGGAGGGATTTCTGAGCTCATTTGGTGTAAACCACTCATCTTGAGGAAAAAGGCCCAGAGGCAAAGTGTACAGTGACTCGGCCCTATTGCACTTAGAGACAGAAGGACACCCACTCTGTCCAGTTTGGGACAAGACAACAACACAAGTAACTGATCACTCACACCAGACTTCCTCCCACCCATGGTGAGCACAGGGAATGGCAGGCACATTCTCTTGTGGGTGAGAGAAAACAACTGAGTCAATTTCAAAATACTGAAGTAATAGTAATTTAAATGGTATGAAATCCGGAGCCTTCCAATCTGCATACTTTCCCTCCCCCTTAAAAAAAAGTCCCAATTTGAACCAAAATGGCCTTTTGATTAGCTGTATGGGCATTTAGATCAACTAACAAAATAAAAACTTGGATACATTATATTTTCCAAAGACACATTCATTAGGACTTTACACAAGTGGATATCAAAAGGTATTTACAGGAAGAAAGTGCTCTCTTTCACACATACATCCAAACACAGAATTTCACAATTATACTGCCACGCCTTACACAGAGCAGTCCTAACAGGCTGATATTCAATTGACAAATTCAATTGACAAATGTTATCTCAGTTATTGGACATAAATAATCTTGTCTACAGACATGTAAAATTAAGCAGTATGTTCCAGACCTATTCCAGGGAAATCTGACTTTTGTCTATGAGGGTATACATGTAAATGTACTTTTAAGCAAGAAAAAAATCCATTATTTGCTCCAGTTTTTCCCAACATGCAATCTGAAAGAAAGAATGGTAGATATATAAAACTTTGCCATTGAAATAGCCCTTTGTTTTGGAAGCAGGGGGGAAAAAAAACAGCATATTATACTTTTTTACAATATGTCTTAAGCATATTGTAAAGGGGCTGAATTTCTCTTTCTACAGAATGAAATTAAATAACATATAACCTATAATTTATAATTTTAAAATTTAAATACTAATTTTACACCATTGCTTTTGCAAAGTTTTATTATAAAATTGTTTTGCTCCAAATACATGCTATCTTTGTCCACATTTCAATCCAAACTCCCAATCACACCTCATCCCCCCAAAAAAAGATTCACGTGGTAGCAATGAAAACAAATCATTTTCAATGATATTCGGAGCTGTTATTCTATGATATTCACTCAGTCCTAAAAAGACTGGATTTTGGAAGGCTGCTTGGGGACTCCTACAGGAGTCAAGCACTCAGCTGATAGAGTGGGACTCCCCAGAATACCCAAATTGTGAGAATGGGATACCAACAGGCACACTATAGCAGAGAGTTACTGTTCCATAAACTCACTCCTTCTCCAATCTCAGCTGTTCCCAAATCGAAGAGCATATCATGTGGGAAAGGGGGAGCAGACTCTGCTGGCACCCCTAAGACAGAATACCTATGACTCCAAAAGACTCACCATATGAAATCTTACATATCCTCCAACCACAGCGGACAGGGGTCGTCGCACCCTAGTACATGAGAAAAATGAGGCACAAGGAGGATGTGGGACTTACCCCAAGCCAACTCAGGACAGCATGCAGATCTCTGGACCACAGGTCCCAGGCCTGAGCCCCTCACTCATATGGTGCAAGTGGTCGCCTGTGAGACAGGCCCAGTCCCAGCTAAAATCCTGACTGTTCACACTGTGAACACACCCTCTGTGCTGTATTTCATCCAACTGGTTTATTTTCTTTTCCTATAGTTTCTAGAAAGATCCTTTCTACCAATCAAATGTATGTTAAGCAGACAGTAATAACAACTGACTTTTTCATTTGACTGAATAATCTGAAATAGAAACTCAGAAATTTGTACAGAGCAACAGGAAAATTATAGGGCACTACCGTGTTCCACTTTCTCATCACATCTGAAGCTCTGGTTAAATCCCAGGTTGCAAAGAAAATAATGAAAATACTGAAATGGAAATGATGGCCTTTCATCACAATGGTCTTTGCATCTGAAATCCTAAAAGCTCCCCCAAGGTTACACTGTTCATCACAGCAATAAGTTGTGAAGGCAAATCAGGAGGTGATAATCCCAGAAAGGGCAAAGATGGGATTCTGGCCCCAGCAAATATATAAAAGGAAGCAGGCAATGAGCTCAAAGACAAGAAAATTGCAGACAAATTTGAGCACTTAAGATGATTCCACAGAGTTGCCATGTGTTATGGTAAGAGATCAGCTATTTTAACTACAAATATACACTAAACCATAGGGGAAGGGCTGCTGAGAAACAAAATTTATCTACCTTTGGCAAAGTACGATATTGTTCTGCTGTGGGCATCTGAGCATTATACCACCAAACCCAAGTCAACTCTTAACAGCACTTAAAGGGACAACTCGATCCTTTTATGCCTGAAAATCTAAGTGGGGAACTAATTTTTAACTATTCCTGAGTTATGGCTTAAGACATTTACTTGCTTTTTCTGGCTATGCTTTGCCAACTGCTTTAAGCTTTTAAAACCAACCTGTCGCAGATTTTCCAGTTAACTATTAAGGTTTCACACTCTCATTCTCACACACACTCACACAATTGTATTATGAATTTATGTGATTAAATTAAAATCTTGCATTGCAGGTATATTCTAATCTACTGTACACAGATAGGTCAGAAATTATTACGTGTAATGAAAAAAATAGGTCATAAATACAGCCCAGTACATTTAGATTTTTGATATGAAATAAAAATAGGCTTTTCATTTATTGTGGATAAGGTTATGCCACTGAGCCTACTACTTGGTTTCTCTGGAGGCCAAAATTGCTGAACCCCAAAGCGAAACAGAGGCTGATGGCACATCCTCATTTTTTGATGTGTCAGTGGCATCCTCCACCAACAGTATGAATACTTTTTTAAATCACCCTCTCCTTGAACATTTATAAAAAGAAAAACTATCTACAGTAGTGTATTATCACTAATAGAAATTTCTTCCCAGTTCTATTTCAGAAGGCGTCAAATGATGTTCTTTAAATAAACTATAAATACCCCACGTATTCCTTCATGTCTGGCTGTCCCAACTTTTTTTTTTTTTTTTTTTTTTTGCAAATTAAAAAGGCGTATGGCTTCTTATTGCCGATTTGTGAGTCTGAGGTTTAGCTTGGTATCCTGCGGTAAAAGTACATGTAGCCCAGGTCTTTAGGGGGCCTTTCTGAGGCACAAACTTTGTGGTCATTGTAGATCACCCATCTGGAAAAAAAAAAAAAAAAGGCAGCATGTAACAGATGCAATTTAGTTCCAGAAAATTTTGCAGAAATAAGTTACTGTACCATATCTGCACAGTATTTAAAATAAACAAGATATTTTTAAGATAAACTCAAGTTTGTTGTATAAAAAGGGACAGAATGATCGAGTGGTAAGTTGTAACTTCTCTTTCAATCTACCAGCTCCATCAAAAAGTCATTACTAAAGGAGCCCCCAAACATTTTTTTTTTAAGATTTATTTATTTTTGCATACAGAACTGGGGTACAGACCAGAGGTGCAGGGGCAATGAGAAGATTCACCAGAAACAGAGAGGGGAGCAGAACAGGCCGACTGATGAAGCACACTGCTGAGGAGGGAGCGGGCAGGCCAGGAGAGGTCTGCGGTGCCATGTGGGTCACCTCTGGGGCAGGCGGGGATCAAACTCATGCTGCAGTGGCTTTAGCTTCTTAGTGCTGTGCTTTAACCTGCTGCGCCACCAGGGAGGGCCAGAGCCTCCAAACATTTTAGGCCCTTTGATTTCATAAATCCATTTGTAGGAACTCATAAATAGCCTCCAAAATTAAGTCAAAAATTGTATACAACAATGCTTATTTCAGTGGAGGTATTATACTATCTAAAAACCTGGAATAAATAGCCACTTGGTGAACAGATATTAAAATGTCTTCAAAGAATATTTGATACAGTGAGAAAATAAATACAATATAATACGAAATGGGGAAAAGCAGGTTACAAAATTGTATATGCTATGCAACTATTAAGATTTTTTAAAAGTTGAAAAGACACATATATATTTTCTGTAGTATGTGTGTAGATAGACATACATACTGTTTCCCAATGAAAACATCAAACACAAAGAAATATATCAAAATATATAGACTACCTCTAGGCATCTAGACAACATCATCGCGTCTTTTTTCTTTTTTCTTTCTTTTTTTTTTTTTCCCTGAGGTTTACAAACACTGTATGTGACTCAGAGGTGCAGGCTCCCCTAGGGTTACTGTACCCCCACCACAAAAGCACCCTTAGTAGACTGGGCTCCCTTCCCACTTTGTTTCTACCCCTCTAGCAGCCGCAATTCTAGAGTCAGATTTCTAAGGTTTGTTACCAACTTGCCTTTATCCTATCTTTTGTTTGGTTATTCTATACTTGCAGGGATGTGTGTTCAGACTACAAAAACAGGTACTCAGAGGAAAATAGGCATCCTGTGTCCACTGCAGCACTCAATAACCAAGGTAGCACAACACCCTAAGCACCCGAAAACATATGAGGGAAGCAGGAAAATGTGGCATCTATCTACAGTGGAATTCAACTTGGATGTTAAAGCTATTGCCACTAGCAATAACATGAATGAAACAAGGGAATTTGTACAAAGCAAAATAAGTCAGGAGACAGACAAATGCTAGAGACATAGTCTTTTTATTTTGGTATTTGACAAATTCTTGATGATGTATTTTATTGGCTTTTTAATTATAACAGCTTTTTTTCTCAAGAAAAATATTTTCAGAAGAGCTATCATGATGAGTAATAAAAGTAAAAGAATTCACTGTAAGAGGCCCAATGGACCAAAGAGGAGAAATATGGGTGCTTTGGAGGTGGGTGTGCTGTGGTAACGTACACCTGGAGAGGTATGAATCTACCCCCTAAATAAGATACAGTTTTGTAAACCAGCATTACAGTGTAAAAATATTAAAAACAAAATTATTCACTATAAATCAAGTCCTTGTGCTCTACTATTTATTAATCAATTTAAGGAGACAAATTAAAAGACATGCCAAAATGGAATACAAGTGGATTCTGGATGAGAACTGGTCATTTCAGCCGAGGGGGGACATGGGCCAAGAAGTCATCTTCCTACCATGAGATGTCAAAGGTACATTTCTCTAGCATCCATGGGCCCCTGCACTGTTACAAGCAGGAGTACTAACCCACAGGCTACACAATGGGGAGTCAAGGAATGGAACCAGGGGATCACATGAGTGTGCAGCCAAGGAGACGTTTATCTCCTTGTTCACCACATACATAAAAATTTCAGCCCTCCCTGGTGGTGCAGTGGGTCAAAGCACCGCAATAAGAAGCTAAAGCCACTTCAGCATGAGTTCGATCCCCGCCTGCCCCAGAGGTGACCCACATGGCGCCGCAGACCTCTTCTGACCCACCCGCTGCTCCCCGCAGCAATGTACTTCATCAGTCGGCCTGTTCTGCTCCCCACTCTGTCTCTAGTGAATCCTCTCACTACACCTCTGGCCTGTACCCCAGTTCTGTATACATAAATAAATAAATCTTCTTTTAAAAAAAAAATTCACTGAAACAGCCAAGAAATCCACTGTAAAATGGCATTAAGGCAAAGTACTAGATGTTAAGGGTTGCCAGATAAATTTGAGGCTACCCAGTCAACTTTGGCTACCAGGTAAGCAAGAAATATTCTTTTCACTATAAGTATAGCCCATGCAATATTAGAGATCCCTTTACAATAAAAACCTATTTATTTATTTATCAAAATTCAAAGTTAATATGGCATCCTGATTTTTTTTTGCTCTGTTGGCTAAAGTTGGCAATCTGATGCAGGTTCCAAATGTGACTCATTGTACTACAGGATATATTTTTTGCTTGGGAAGTCACCTTGGTATGATGGCTGTGAGGGCTTTGAATATTAAAGCCTAACACAGCTACATACTAATAAGGTCTGATTTCTCAACCCCCTGAGACTCTTGATGTGCAAAACATAAACATGAGAGTCTATTCCTACAAGACCACTGTTGAAAGAGCATCTGAAATGCTCAGTACAGCACCTGGCACATAGCAGGCAACAAAGCACAGATCCCATTCACCTTTCAAAAAGACTCACCTTCCTTCCTTTTTGATATGACAAACGTAATGGCCACTCATTGTGGATGTTCCCATGTGACTGATGAATGCAAATAATTCATACACTATGAGAAAGAAAACAGCTCAGTTATAAGGCAGCATTTCTAGAAGTCAACAACACCAACAATTTTGTGATCCTGTGACTGTCTGGATGGAAAGACGGAGTCCAGTTCCCCTGCTGTGCTGAGAACACACGAACACACATACTCACCCAAAGGGACACCAAACGCAAAGTGTAAATGTGGACACTATCCCAGTATAGCTGACATTAAATTCGTAACAGGGAGGGGAATAAAAAAACCCCAGCCAATCTAGTGGTAAGCTCAGGCCTAACAGGGTAAAACTGGTTCTGTCTTTCCAAGCCACTTGAGGATGAAGAAACTGTTTCATCTCTCTGTGCCTGTTTCTTCAAGGGATGAAAAATCCACCCACTTCACAAGGTTCTATGAGGCGTAAATGAGCAATTCAGACTAAAATGCCATACAAATGTCAGGATCATGAGAAAGGCAGCAGATAGCTGTCATCATTTACCAAAAAAGACAAGGCTTCAGATTCTGCTTCCAAGGATTTCATGACTGGAAACTAGATGGGACCAAAAATTCTTGATTTCTGAACTGAAGAGCTATATAGCTTCTTCGGGTGAGAACAGAATTTATCCTCTAACAAAAACTTCTTGCCACACAACACAATATTCTGCACCAAAGCCCGATGAGTGAACTTTAATCCTAGACCCACACAACACAAAGTGCTACACACACAAGTTCCAGTCTATTATGCGGATGGTTAGACTACAACGAGGTAAGTATAGAATTCGGTTTTATAATAATTTGAGAGAAATATTCATGTAAATTGAAGCCCAAAAAAACGGACTTGCATATTCATTTTCTAGGATGCAACTTTGAACACATTTTATAAAAGTATCGATCCTGCATGGACTGTTTCCTCGCTCCTCCTTTTCCCATTCTTTCTCTTTTTCGATGCTCACCCACTTACTCAGCTGAAACTCCCAGTCCTCATTTTACTTACCCTTCAGCACATTGCATACCACTGATCATGTCCTCCTTTTTCAAATATTTGCCCCTGGACAAGTGAGACCCTCTTACTCATCCGTCACCCTCATTGTTTCCCTTTCATCTCCCTGACCTTGAAATATTGGTGATTTGGAGCTAGAACCTCAGACCTCTCTCTTTGTAGCCTGACTCTTTCTGGGTGACCTCATACAGTCTCACAGCATTAAACGGAACTATGTTCTTATTTCATTTCTGCAATGTTCATTGCTAATGTACAGAATCACAATTAAATTTTGTATATTGATCTTATGTTCTAAACCTACCCACAATCTACTGTTACCCCCGTTTATCAGTCTTTTAGTGGATTCCTTAGGACTTTTTACAATACATAATCATGTCACCTGCAAATAAAACTGGATTTATTTCTTCCTTATTAATGTAGATACTTTTTATTTCTTTTTCTTGTCTACTTACCATGGCTAAAAACTACTGTACAAGTGGCAAGAGCAGACATCCTTGTTTTGTTCCTAATCTTAAGGGAAAAGCATTCAGTCTGTTACCATTAAATATGATGTAAGCAATGGGGATTTTTGTAGATGCCCCTTTGTTTCTACTTTATTGACCATTCTTCCCTCAGTTTGCCAGTGGGCAATGCCACTTCTCCAGTAACTCAGGACAACCCACTTCAGGAGCATTTCCTTCAAAATATATCCAGAATTCAACTGCTCTCAGTGCTTCCAACGTAACTCTTGATCTAAGTCGCCATCACCTCTCTTTTGGATTATTACAATAACCTTCTCACTGGACACCCTACTTCCTCCTTTGCCCCCAACTATTCTTACTATGTTTGCCAGAGTGGTCTAAATTTGGAAGTTAAATCATGAATATGACACTGCCCCAAAATTGTCTTGTGGAATCCTTAATCTCAGAGTAAAACTTACTCTTACATTGACCTATGGAGTCCCCAGTTTCCTCCCTCCCTCCCGCTACCTCCAGGCTGCTCCTCAAACACCCAGCATACTCTGCCTGCAAGCCTCAAGATCTACTTTTTCTTCTATGCACAGCTCTTCTTTCTGACACACCCTTCATTTCATGGAGGTCACAGATCAAAAGTCACCTGTTCAGTAAGGTCTTTCATGGCTGCCTTATAAAAGAGCAACCCTCAGGCCCTCCCTGGTGGCGCAGCAGGTTAGAGCACTGCACTAAGAAGCTAAAGCCACTTTCGCATGAGTTCGATCCCTGCCTGCCCTAGAGCTGACCCACATGGCGTGGCAGACCTCTCCTGACCCGCCTGCTACTCCCTCAGCAGTGTACTTCGTCGATCTGCCTGTTCTGCTCCCCATTCTGTCTCTGGTAAAGCCTCTCACTGCCCTGCACCTCTAGCCTATACCCCAGTTCTGTGCACAAATAAATAACTCTTTAAAAAAAAAAAAAGAGCAACCCTCCTTCCAACCCTACCCTTACTCCCATTGCTTCTTGTACCCTCGCCCCTGTGTTTTACTGCTGCCTGAATAGCACAAAGTATAGCTGCTGTCACACATGTGTACATTTATTCTCTCTTTTCCTTTTACCCCAGGCTAGAGCACAGCTCCATAAAGAGCAAAAGTTGTATCTGCTTTTTCACTGAAATACTGCAGGCATAGAGAATAGTGCTTAGTAAAGTAGGCTTAACTTGCTAAATGCATAAGTAAATGAGTAAGTGAAGGATTAACTCTTTTCACTTCATTTCCTCACTTATTTTTATAACTTTTTATGTTACATGTAACTTTTAGAAGTTTATCTGCCACAGCACAAATTGCAACATAAATTAGTGAAATAATAATTTAAAAGAGAAATGAACCAGAAAAAACTGCCTTTTCTACCACTAACTCCCATCCACTGACAACCAAAAAAAAAAAAAAGTCCCAGGTTTAAAGCCAGACATCAGGCAACCAGTTGTGAATGACAGTAATTTTGTCTGGCTCTTATTTTCTGGAACAATGACCCAAGGATCCTACCCCAGTTTGACCTGTCCTTTGCTTCCCAACACTAAGAACCCCATTCTCAACTCAGCAAACAAAAAAGGCTGAAAGCAGAGACCTTTCCATGTTTCTTGACCCTGGATGGTTTTTAAAGCTTTTTTTTAGAACATTTCTCTATCAAATTCCAAATCCTCAATGCCTGTCTCTCAAAATGTAGCAGCCTTCTTGGAATGTTAATCAAAAAAAGCGGTCAGGAGGGCCAACCAAGGAACAGTTCCAGAAAACAGTGACTTGATTGATCAGAGTATTCAAATGAGCACTTTCCATCAAAACCAGGGTCATACTATGACACAATGTTCAACACTAATGCTGAGACACTAGGCTAAAAAACAGATAACACAGAAAAGGGCAAATCCATATACCCAAGATAGCCCAAGTGCCATTAAGCCCCCAAAGGTATATTCCCTTCCTTTCATTAAAAACAACTCACATGCATAATCAGAATCATAAAAATAAATTAAAGAAAAGGGATTAGCATAAATCTTAATGCTATAATTAAAATTAACCATGTTTATCAATATATAGTACCACCCATACATTATTCAAAACTTCCTGCTAGGAATAAATGGCAAGAGAATCCCTCAACACATTTGCAAAAAACTCAACAGGTAAGAAGTCTCCATTTATATTGATTTGAGAAACAAAGGTGACTATCCAGCTGAATAAACCAGACACAAACTACTTAATGCTCAGTGTTCTCTGAGTTCCAAGTTTCTTGTCCAAAACAGCACTCCCTAAAAAATAGAAACCCCTTTTTATGTAACAGAAAAAGCAGGTTGAGGCAAAGTAATCATTTCAAAAACGTTGATTTTTTTCAACAGAGAAGCTTTCAAAGTGCCCAGAAGAGCTGATCAGAAAACCTCCTGAACCACTGAGTCTAATACCTGGTGAAGAGTGTCTCTTAAGAGCCAGTATTAAACAGTGGCAGGAACAAGCACCCTTCCTACTTTTCTCTTTGAACAAAATCTGTCCTTATTTTGAAGCCAGGAAATGTCCCCAACCTTTCTAATATAGAGAATTTTGAATATCAAAATTCAAGCATCACCACTACCACCTAACACAATAGCAACTGTACTCTGATATGCTTTGAAAAAGCACTGCCAGAAAAAAATTATATGAAACTTGGCAGAGCAAAGAGGGATGCAACATGCCATTTCACATGAAACATAGGACTGGATACCCAAGAAATGTCAAGGGTAGGGACCGGCAAGCTCCTTTGACAAGCCACAAGCCAAGACTGGCACATAACCAACTTTTATATTACCAAGGTAAAGGGTAGAATCAGGGGACACTATGTGATAGATGGGCTGATGGCCCCAAAGTCTGAAACATGCACTAGCTGTTCTTCAGACAAAAAAAAAAAAGGTTTGCTGGTCCCTGGTCTTGAGGACTGAACTTAATTTATCCCATTGCTTACTGCCAGTTAAAGGTCTCGGGCTTAGTTACATATTAACTAGATTTTGTCTGGTAAAGATAAAAAAAATTCTGTCCAGCAGAATATATAATTTGAAGAAGGTAGGGGGCTTAACACATTAATTTTATACCTAACTCAGCAAATTATCTTTAAATATCCTAACTTCTCAGATCATTTGAACCAATAATAAGAGCCAGCTGGTTCCTTCATTAATGAGTTAAAATCTGTGATATGTTCAGTTTACATGTGGAGTCATGACTTTTTGAAAATTATAGTCAATGACACATAATGATCAAAAGGAAATCTAGAGTTGAGAGTAAGTTAAATTATATTTTATACACTATATAGCATGTACCTATATTTGAAAGGCAAGCAGTATCTTGGAAGGCCACACTAGTCTGTCTACTGAGAATGCTCAGAATTACAATGCCAACAAAAGACTTCTTAAAATAACTACTAAGACCCCAGGAGCCCCGCAGCTTTCTGGTAGGAAACCCAGATTGCGTTTTCCAACAGAATCATCCTAATTTGAAGAATGTCATTATGCAGTTCTAACTGCTTCTGCACAACATGGGAAAATAGCATACTCAATTACTAACATTTGACTCACAAACAATCTA